TAAAACAATTGCCTCCAATATCTCTTTGGGTGTCAGTCTGACTATGAAGTGTCAAAACCCCCAAATTTGGAAGAAACGATATTTTCAGAGGTGCCAAATATTTTGTACTTAATATAGGCGTGCCAGTTCCTGGCAGCCTGTTTGCAGTGGGTCAGTGAGACTATGTGGGATTATGAAATGATGAACTGTACTTAGTGTATGTACACAAGATAATATGTGGTCTTCGTGAATGCACATAGATCCACTTGGCATGATTTTTGCTCCCTTTTTGGGGAACGGAAACTATAATAGAAAATAATGGTATGCATACAAACCTTTGCACATTACTGTATATGCACAGCGAGATTTGGTCCCCACATCTTATCAAATATACAGGACCATTATTAAAAATTAGAGAGAGGGAGGAAGGGAGGGAGGGAGGGAGGGAGGGAGGAAGGAAGGAAGGAAGGAAGGAAGGAAGGAAGGAAGGAAGGAAGGAAGGAAGGAAAAGTAACTGCTATTTTACAACTTTACAAAAAACAACATCAATACAACTGTTTGCATTTCTAGGCAACTATGAGCTGGTCAGTTTGCTACTGAGCCGAGGAGCTGATCCCCTTCTGAGTATGCTGGAGGCCAATGGGATCTCCTCATCGCTTCATGAAGACATGAACTGTTTCAGCCATGCTGCTGCTCATGGACATAGGTAAATCATAGGCATAGGTTGGTAAGTGCAGTCAGTTGTGCCCCACGGATGATAGGAAAAGAGATGTCACCTCTTTTTCCTTCTGTGCTTTATATCAGCACCTGGAGCAAGGGATTTACTTGGGTTCTTTCACAGGAGATTATTAAAGGCCTCTGAATGGTTCAGTAACATACAAAGGACACTGTGGATTATGGACTGCAGTGCAAGCTCAGAGAATGGTGTCTCCTTTACTTTTTCATTTACCAGGTGTCACATGATAGAAGCAGTAGTTTTGCCAGGACATTTCTGTAGCCTAATACAATTTGTATTCATCAAGTTTCTGTATCCTAGCATCACTGCATTTTTAATCATTTTGTAAATCTCAGCCAACTATTCATATTTTTGCTAACATCAGGACCAAAATTTATATTTTCAAATTGGTATCTTTTGTTATATTATTTTTTTTATGGAGAACCATTGGCCCTTCCAACTTCAAACAGTAATAGAAAACACCCAAATTACCAAAGGCTTTAGCATCTTGGGGTAGGAAAAAAACAGCAACAAGGAGAGTACCTGCAAGAGAGATTTAGAATTTTTTTAAAAATGTATATCTTCTGCAGTCCTTGACAAAATATACAACCTTAACTCTTATGGATTTTTCTGTATAAAAAGAAAAAAATGAAGTTGTGATTTCTGGCTTTGATGCTTAGACAAGATAGACTATAGAAAAGAGAAAACCATAATACAATCTTAGAGAGGTTAAAATATTATTCTAATTAATCCTGCTGTGAAGATCAAAAACCAACTTTTTAATATCTTTTTCTACTTTTTTTGTTTTTATCTTCCTATTACTTTTTTGCACTTTGTGCTTTTTAATCTCTCTTTTTTACTTTTTACTTTCTCATTCTACTTTAGTTTGTATTAGTTATTTGTATTAGTTATTAGTCAGTAGTGGGTTTCAATTTAGTTTGCTACTGGTTCGTTCGTGCGTGCACTTCTGCGTCCAGGCAGGTGGGCGGAGCCTCCAGCCGCTGCTGCTACTGGATCACCTGATCCACCACTGTTATTAGTATAAAAAATCTCAATGTAAACACACACTGACACACACTGTATCCTTACGTTCAATTCACAGAATGCAGCTGTTAGTGGCAGTTTAAAACAAATAAGATTGTTTTAAATTGCAAGGTATGGTTATAGTGTAAATGTATATGTGGCCTAGTGAATACTTCAGTAAATAAAGTCGAAAATAGTTAAGAGATAATGTTGCTAAATTCCACCTTTGCGTTTCTCTTGCTTGTCTAGAAAGATTCCTTGGCATCGTTAAAATTATTTTTGTGGGCATAGGCATTTACTAACCAAATTACCAGAGTAAACTGAGTTATCTCATAGTTTCCAGATCTGAAGAGATCCGGTGGCTTAGTGGCTAAGATGCTGAGCTTGTTGATCAAAAGGTTGGCAGTTCAGTGGTTCAAATCCCTAGTGCTGCATAAAGGGGTAAGCTCCTGTTACTTGTCCCAGCTTCTGCCAAACTAGCAGTTCGAAAGCACATAAAAAAAATGCAAGTAGAAAAATGGGGACCACCTTTAGTGGGAAGGTAACAGCATTCCGTGCGCCTTTGGCGTTTAGTCATGCTGGCCAGATGACCATGGAGACGTCTTCGGACAGCACTGACTCTTCAGCTTTGAAACGGAGATGAGCACTGCCCCCTAGAATTAAGAATGACTAGCACATATGTGCGAGGGAAACCTTTACCTTATAGTTACAGATCCTTTTGTTTTTACTTTACAGAAATGTCCTGCGCAAGCTGTTGACCCAACCACAGCAGTCGAAGGGAGATGTTCTCTCCCTGGAAGAGATTTTAGCAGAAGGTGTGGAAAGCGATACTTCCAGCCAAGGAAGTTCTAATGAGGGCCAAGTTAAGTTATGCAAAACCAGAATGAAAGCATTACAGGAGGCCATGTATTACAGTGCCGAGCATGGCTATGTCGATATCACAATGGAACTGAGAGTACTTGGTAAGATTTTGTTTTTGACTCTCCTTATCATTGTAAGACCTGAAAAAATTCCTTAACTCACTTGTACATGTCTGTCTGTGTGTGTGTATTAAATATATATATGTAATGCTGGATTTATTTTAAAGGGCTTTTTTTTTGTTAAAAAAAAATCAGACTACTACTAGATGACAGCAAAGAGAAGGCTTCTGTAATCTCTTTGCTACCATCTAGTGATTGTCTGGGTTTCTGCAAGCAAGATCTTGCAAAGTAATGGTAATTATCTGCGCTACTGAGCCCCGGTGGCGCAATGGTTAGAGTGCAGTACTGCAGGCTACTTCTGCTGACTGCCTTCTGCCTGCAATTTGGTAATTCAAATCTCACCAGGCTCAAGGCTGACTCAGTCTTCCATCCTTCCAAGGTGGGTAAAATGAGGACCTGGATTGTTGGGGTCAATATGCTGACACTCTAAACTGCTTAGAGAGGGCTGTAAAAGCACTATGAAGCAGTATATATGTGTAAATGCTATTGCTATTGCTATTGCTACTGCATTCCGAACAAAGTGGCTTCCTGATGGGCACCCTCACAAAAAACTTTATGGCAGTAGTTCAGGAAATGAACAAAGCAGGGCTTGTTTTGGTATAATTTTTTATTTAAAAGAATTAAAAATAGAAAGTCTAGTGGTTAAGGCACCATGCTAGAAAGCAAAAGACCAAGAGTTAAAGACCCATCTTGGCCATAAAAAAGGGGAAAGTATACTGTATATGTTTGCCACCTTATTTGTAAAAACAATAAAGGTGGGATATAAATAAAATAAAATAAAGAAAAAGGAAACAAAGAAAAAAGAAAAGAAAAAGACAGTGCAAAAAGAATGAAATGAAATGAAAAGAAATAGAAAGCAGTACTGTATTTTTCGTAGTATAAGACACACCTTTCCCCCCCCCCAAAAAAAAGGTGAAAATCTGCTGTGTCTTATACTCTGAATGTAGCCTCGCCCAGCCTCGCAAACAGAGATTTCAGAGGCTGAAAGAAGCCTCTGAAAGAAGTTTCAGGAAAAAGCCTCCAAACAGAGCTTCAGAAAAAAAGCCTTTGAAAGGTTTTTATCTAAAATAATATGGCAAGCAACAAAAGAAGAATCAGTAAATCAGTAACCAAACTATGCTAACAAATCTGGAGAATGACACAATAACCAACAGATCGGAAGAGGTTAATCTATATACCAATACCAAAAAAAAAAGGAGATTGAACAGAGTACAGATAGTCCTTCAGAATAAAAGCCTCTGAAAGAAGCTTCAGAAAAAAAGCCTTTTTTCTGAAGCTCTGTTTCGGAGGCTTTCAGAAGCAGAAAAAAAAGATTTTTTTGAAACAGAGTTTCAGAAGTTTCAGAGGCAGGGAAAAAAAGCAAGGCACAGGGCTCACAATCAACGAACCTGTTGCTAAAATCCACCTCTGGAAACAGCTGATTGGGGGTATTCCAGGAGGCCGATCCACCGACCAATCAGCTTTTTTCTTATTTTCCTCCCAAAAAACTAAAGTGCGTCTTATACTCTGGTGCATCTTATACTCCCAAAAATACCGTAGTTTATATTCCTACCTCTACACTAATTCTTGCTGCAAAGAAAAGCTACATTAAGGCAGGGCTTTTTTATCCATTGACATACAAGATAATGTACCCTGTAAAAATTTAGTTGCATTCTAATTTATTCCAGGAAGAATGTTTGGAAAAAGCTGAAGAATCAGTTTTATTATGCTAAATTAATGCTGTAGACTGTGCTGCAAAATATACATTATTGGTGAAATAACTGAACTACAGTAATAGGGGAATACTTTGGCAATAAATAAACTTCAGCTTTGGCACTGATACCATTATCCTGAAATATATATTGTCCTGAAATAAAGTTTGACTATTAAGAAACAGCCACATGTGCTTCAATCCTCTTAAGTGCTAGAAAATTGGTTCTTAAAACTTTGGAGAGTTTCAATCTTCCTCTTTAAAGAGGAGATCAGACCTTTTGAAAATGCATTAAATGAACATTAAAATGAAAGAACCGTCTCATTATTAGGGGACATGATCTGCTCAAATGTTTTTTGCAGTTTAAATGAGATGCGGTCCAGTGCAAGATCTTTTTAAATTAAGTTTGAAAACATTAGATTAAGAATATTGGACTAATCAGAGATGAAGATCAGATTAGTCATTTAAACTGCTATGTAAAATGGGTCATTTGATAACAAGCCATATATGATTGGATTTCTTATTTCTACTTTCAAACTTGGATAGAAGTTCTGCCCTGCTTTGCGTTCTTTCCTTAGAACTGAAATGATGTTTAAGAAGAAACAGCAGCATCTGAATTCTAATCTTTATTCTTGTATGAAAAAAACTACAGAGCATTCTTGCAAATTTCTCATTTTAAAAGTAGGAGTTCTTTCTTCACCTTTCATTTTTGCTGACAAGCTGAAAAAGCAAAAGAAACACTTCATTTTAGTTTGGAAGAAGCAGATTTAGAATTTAGAATAACAGAGTTGGAAGGGACCTTAGAGGTCTTCTAGTCCAACCCCGTGCTTAGGCAAGAAACCCTACACTACTTCAGACAAATGGTTACCCAGCATCTTCTTAAAAACTTCCAGTGTTGGAGCATTCACAACTTCTGCAGGCAAGTTGTTCCACTGATTAATTGTTCTAACTGTCAGGAAATTTCTCCTTAGTTCTAAGTTGCTTCTCTCCTTCATTAGTTTCCATCCATTGCTTCTTGTCCTACCCTCAAGTGCTTTGGAGAATAGCTTGACTCCCTCTTCTTTGTGGCAGCCCCTGAGATTTTGGAACACTGCTATCATGTCTCCCCTAGTCCTTCTTTTCATTAAATTAGACATACCCAGTTCGTGCAACCGTTCTTCATATGTTTTAGCCTCCAGTCCCCTAATCATCTATGTTGCTCTTCTCTGCACTCTTTCCTTTTCAATCTTTTCTTGATTCTCTGTTTCACCCATATTGTTTTGTAGTAACCTTATTTGCTGATGTACCTGCTCTTGGGTTATGGTTAGAATTGGAGCTAGGGGTAGGGATTCCAACTAGATTCTGGTTAGAATAATTCTCCAGTTAATCCAACATGGCTTTGCTTCATTTAAGCCCTTGAGAGTCAAGACATGTTGGTGATGAACTTCCATAAATGCGAGCCAGATATGCTTTTATGAAGTCCAGTGCAGTTCAGACTCTTGGGGTTGGGGAAGACTGAGAGACTTATTGATGTTGATTTTTCATAAGAAAATAGAAGCACTACTAATATTTTTTTCTCAGTATTCAGTGGTACTGTAAAATTTACCAGCTAGATTTGGGATATTCAGAAGCATGGACAGTAGAGAACTTAAACAGCAGTTGCAGAAAGTGGGATTAAACCTACCGGTCTACTTTCCTAGGAAATCATGTGTAGGGCTCCAAATTGATAAAAAGAAAAAAGAAAAGAAGAAATAGAGCAGCTCACTACTTGATTGAACTAATGTGTTATCTGACCTTGAGTAATTCCTGATAATTCTGTGCTAGGATTAGAATAGTCTTGGAGTTGCTCCGGTACCATGCCTGGAAATGTCTTCAGATTCTTCCTACATAACTAGAATAGACTGCATACTTTTGTGCAACAATGCAGATGTCTATTCATTAGCAGATTTGTGGCAACGTAGATAAATCATCATACAATCCATCCTGATCATTTGCATAGATAGTTTCAGAGTGAAAGCAGTGTGGGACCCGTTATCATGCATCCATGATCCTAAGCATTTCATCCATGCACATAAAGATAAAACAAAAGCAGGTTCTTAATTCTGTTAAGCTCTGTTATTTTTTTATAGTAATCCTTAAAAGATAATCACATCTCTTATATATCTTTTTGGAATATTATACCGCCCTGTGCCACCCTGTGTCATACTCTGTGAATAAATTTCTAGTGCTATTAAAACAGGGGTGGGCAACTGTGGCCTTTTTACAACCTGTGGACTTCAACTACCAGAATTCCTGAGCCAGCTTGGCTGTCTCAGAAATTCTGGGAGTTGAAGTCCACAGGTTGCAAAAGGGCCATAGTTGCCCACTCCTGTATTAGAACATTAATACTAAACATTTGATTTGATACAGAGTACTATTTGCCTCTTATGAGTTGAATGTCCACCCTTATTAATAAAATTATATTTCCCCTTTCTTTTGGAATGGTTCCAGGGATCCCATGGAAGCTGCATGTATGGATTGAGTCACTACGAACAACTTTTTATCAGTCTCGTTATTCAGTGGTACAGAACCTCCTAAGGGAATTTGTCACCATTAAAGAAGAAGAATACAATGAAGAGCTAGTGAATGATGGACTGAAACTAATGTTTGAAATCCTCAGAACCAGCAAAGTAAGCTATTCTAAAACTATACACAACACTTCAGCTCCTTATTCTCCTTTCCTAACATCATTCTTGATGCAGAAATCCAGAGATCTCAAACACTTATATCATTCTGGTGATCTTTGGCCTGGGCAAGACATGCCAATAATGCACTATACGAAGAAAGACATCTACTGGCAGTGGATTACTAGGGTAGATCTCAAAGGTATCAATTGTCAAGAGTCATCTACCATACTCATATTGCTTGTTAGGTTGCTTGCACTTCCTAGTTCCCATTCATTCATTCACTTGCATCCATTCTGCAGCTAGATTTGTTGACTTTCTTCTTCTGAAGAAGAAGTTGCAAGCACTCAGATGTAGAAATCCATTAGGTATCCTCCTCCTCCTTAATCAACCTTCAGAGCTGCATATTTCTGACACTGAAATGATAGTTCAGTCAGAAATGTGAAAAAAATCTTTTTTGCTGTGGAATGTTCTCCTTGTTTGGTATCCGAGCAACTCCTATATTCTAATAATATATACTTTCTTTCAATTTCTTTTCAGATTTATTCTATCTATCAGTATTACCATCATAATAGAGAGGAGGAAAGAGGAGGAAGAGGAGAGTGAGGGAGAGGAATGGAAGAAAGGGAAAAGGAGAGGAAGGAAGGGTATGGGACAGGAGGAGGAGTGGAGGTGAGAAGGGGGGAAAGAAGAGAGGAGTGGGGGAAAGGAAGGGGAAGTAGGATGAGGTGGGAGAGGAGGAAGGAGAAAGTAGGAGAGGAGAGGAGGGAGGGAAGGGAAAGAGGAGGAGAAGAAGAAGGGTTGTTGCAAAATGAGGGAAGAAAGGGTAGAAGAGCAATTCCGAATGTAATTAAAATGCCTTATTTTACTGTTTTTTTTTTAAGGAAAACATGTATATGTAGAATTAATTATGTATAAGAAAATGTACATTTTATGTTATGTGTGTAAGAAATAAAGCTGAAAAACTTTTCAAAAAAAAAAAAAAGAAATGTGAAAGAAGTCAAAGGGCTGAACAATCTCATAGTTCACAATCACATACTGGAGGAAAATTAAGCCAGTTAGAATAAACATATCATCTCGATTGGAAAACCATAATTAATTCTAGGTGTTTCACTTACCCTTAGCTATATTTATTCGTGCTTGTTTACTGACAACACTAACAGGGACCAGAAGGAAAAGCTCTCTTTTGCAGTAAAAGCCCTAATTCTAATAATAACTTAAATGATCTGTCATTGTCGTCATCAGCCACTCAATCATGTCCAATCCTCAGCCACTCTATGAATCAGCACTCTCCATGCCCCTCTGTCTCGCACCACCTCCTTCAGATGTGCCATGGTCATCCCAGTGTCATCTTTTATAGCAGGGGTCCCTAACCTCTGGTTGTGGAATGGCATAAAACTTGGCTGTGCAAACAAGTGAAGCCTCTTCTGTGGGATGCAGGCAGCACACAAAACCAAGCCTACTCTAGTCCACAGAACTGGTTCCTGGTGCCTAAAAGTTTGGGAGCCACTGCTTTATAGGGTTCAGCCAATGGTTACTAGGGCGGTCCCTTCTCCTTTTTCTGCTGATCACTCCCAGCATGATTGACTTTTCAAGTGAGTCAGCTGTCATGACAGGACCGAAGTATGGCAGCTTCTCTTTGGTGTATCTGTAATGAGTGGATATTTAATAAAGGCATTCGTTCATAAATTCACCCCCACACGTTAGTAATATTTTAAACTCTCCCTTTCTGTCCTACAACTGAACACACAATTTACAATTTAGTATATTCCATTTATAGAAATATATAAATCTCAATACCACCAATATCTTTACAAAATAAATAGTTTTGTTGATCAATCCTCTTCTGGTATTAGCAATTATTTCTTTCCAGAGATTGGAATGAGACAAAAATGGCAAACACTTCAGAAAATCTAGCTCAGTTAATTTTATATTTCTTAAGTACAAGAGATCCTCAGATCTTTTATAGGTGGAATTATGTGGAAAGTAAAGATCAGTGGTGGAAGGAGCACTTTGGTCTGTGAATCCTAAACTGGGAGAGTAGCTCCAACAAATTTCAGAAACAACCTCAGAGCTCCCTGTCCAGATGAGGGAAGTACCAAGATCAACAGAGATACTGTGCAGAACCCTCCAACTCAAAGGCCTTTGGTAAAAACAGATACCACCTGTAGGTTGAGAAAGGAATTTTATTTATTTTAGATTTAGGTATAGGAGTCAGTGCAGATATGGTTATTCTTCCCTCTGTAAGTATTACATTCATCCTTGGCAGAGTGATTAAGTCAAATGTCTTATTTTTTCTATTTCTATTATACAGAGCTCTCCCCTATATAATAAAAGCAGAATAATATGTTTCTTTAACTTGTCTCTTCACAGAATGACTCAATCAGCCAGCATCTCGCAGCTATCTTTAGTCACTGCTATGGAAGCAGCCCCATCCCCAGTATTCCTGAAATCAGAAAGACACTGCCAGCCCGCCTAGGTAACATAGTTAACCTTCAATCAGCAGTTATTCGGTGGATTTTGGTTTCTTACTGTGTTTCTCTACAGTGAAACCTAATTAAACTTCCCCCTTTTTTTTTTGTCTTCTATGCAGATCCTCACTTTCTAAATAACAAAGATATGTCTGATGTGACGTTTCAAGTGGAAGGAAAACTGTTTTATGCTCATAAAGTTCTCTTGGTTACTGCTTCAAATAAGTGAGTTTCTCCGTCAGTGAGTAGTACTTGGTACTGAATTATGCAAAGGATCTCCCAGCGCGCGCACAAACCCCCAAAATGCAATGTGAGCGCCCCTGCACATATGCCCCTCCCCCCTCGCATGCATGGCAGAGACCCACAGACCAGCTGGCCAGCGGGAGGCACGTGCACATGCGTGGTACAACTGGGCTGGGGCGATGGCTGGCGTGCCCGCAGAGAAGACTCTGGTGGCACACGTGCCATAGGGTCGTCATCACAGCCATAGAGGAAGGATGAAAACCAGGCAAACATCATGTCTTTCCCTTTAAAACCTCAAAGCCATTCTAGAAGGATACTATAACCATGATAGCAGAAGCCACTGAGAGATCAAGGAAAATTAGGATAAGTGCACCACAACCATCCAAATCCTTCCAAAGGTCATCTACAAGTGCAATTAACACCATCCTGTACTGCATACAACAATTATACCCCAATCCCAAATTCCAAAATAGCAGAGGCAGTAGGGGATTGTGCTTGGACCCAGGTCAGACAAATGACAAGAGTGAGTCCACATCACTCATAAACCATTCAAGTGTGGCCAGAGAATAGATTTACAATATTTAGAAGCCCAAAATGGATAGAAAGGAACTTTTACCACTGCTTCCAGGCAGAAATATGGAAGGTTAGAGGTCATATGTTAATTTAAAAGTTTGCATTTTAAACTGGTAATAGTAATAATAATACACTATATTTGATTGACTTTAAGAGTTCTTTATTACCACTATTTACATTACTATATCAATATTGTCCCTGGAGTTAGAAGCCAGTTGCATAAAGGCTCATGACAAGAAGTGTTAGAATACTCTGTAGTTTCTTTTGATATCTCTGTGAGATATTTGAAAGATCAACTTGTCTATATTCATTTTGACTAAGGTCCACACTAATTGTTCTTCCTTTTATGGAAGTGCTCAGCTCCACCTACATATACTCAATTATTACTGAAAGCACTCCAACAGCTGAAATTTGAGAATGTAAACAAAATATTGGCCAAGTCTAAGTGACCTCTTATCTCATGCTTAATCTTGTCCCTTTTGGCTTATTAAGTCTAATAGAAAGGGGAACTTCATTTCTGTCTTGGGCTTTGTAAATTTCTCCCTAACAAAAAGAGATACCGTCTCCTTGAAATTTGAATTTCTCTAGTCACTCCTAAAGAAACCTATCCAACACAGAAGATGTAATATTACAAGTCAGTTCCTGCAGATTTCTGCACAAATAGAGTAATTGCTGATCAGGATTCTGTAGATTTTATTGTATTTGCAATTTGGATATGGGTACTTTGGTCAACAGCAAGGAGATGAACCTCGCTGAAAGAAATGGGAGGTATTATGTGATTGGTTACTTTCTGGTAATCTCATTACCCTGGACTGTGCAAGATTAGCCTATCTGATGCTGGTAGATGGTTGCAGTTATGCTATGGAATTTCCTAGGATTCTGCTTATCTATCTTTCATGCTGTGCCCCATTTCTTATAAACCAAGAGAGAGCTACAGTATTTGAGTATGGGGACTGAAGTCAAATCAATATGTAGATGGACTAGCCCTGCCTCTCCATTTTATTTCAGAAGATGTAGACGGGATGTTTGAATGAGATATACTGTAGCAGTTGGGGACTGCTGCAATACCAGTATATCTCATTCAAATGTCCTGTCTAATGGTTTCATGGAAGACAATCTTTCCATGGACTGGGTTGGGGGGGGAGGGATGGTTTCCTTTTCACACATTCACCCGCCACTCACTTCCAGCTTTGTGGCCCAGTTCCTAACACGCCACAGACTGGTACTGGTCTGTGGTGCATGGGTTGGGGACTCAATATACTGAATAGGATGAGGACCAATACATTGCGATTTGACTCTGATCAAAGATATTCTTAGAATATTGTTCGTGTTCCATCAAACAATTTCAATCTGGTTTGAAGAGGGTTACATTCTTCTTAAATATCAGATTCATAGTGTAGGATTTGATCCACCATTATTGCTAGAGGAACAAATGACTTTGGTGTCGTTTTACTAAGCTTAGACTGATGTAATAACTGTGATGCTATTTGAGCAGAGAAAATCTTTTTGTAGTTATCCCACCTCAGCTAGCCTAGCCTGCTTGGATTGCTGCCAATAACTGTAAGCATAAACTGCACCATTATGAGATGACAAAAATGTGAAAACGTAGGGATTATGGCATGGTGCAATCCAAAATTTAGGCAAGGTTACATCAATATTTGTTCTGGTGCATTTAGAATTGGGATAGTGCACCAAACAGTTTTACAGTAACAAAACACGTATATTTAGGGGAGAAATTGCAATGTTGTTTTATTGTAGTTAACTACAAATCCAGTTTTACATGTGCCCACTGTTGGGATATCATACAATCATTATCCCTGGTTCCTGTTCTCAGCCTAGTTTCAAATTAAATCTGAACTGGATTCCTGCAACTACTTTCCTATGCTTGAAGAAAGACTGGTTTTCAATGACAGACAGAGTCAGAATTGTCCAATAAGTTGAGAGAGTACCTGTTAGGATTGTTTTATTTTTTTGTTTTATTTTGTTTTATTTTGTTGGTTTGGTTTTTTGTTTTGTTTTGTTTTTGCAGGAAGCTTCTGCTAGGAAGGCTGATAATCCTAAAAATTCAAAGAATGGAGTTGGGTGGGGTGGTGGGAAAGCATTTATACTTAATCAGTTAAAACATAATCCAAGCAAATAATCTTGTAAAACCTCCTAAGAAATCACCTCTGCTTGTTTTCAC